TATCACTTTGATGGAAGGAGTTTTACCGATTTCCACGTTCAAATATAAAAAAGCCTGTAGATCATTTACAAGAAAGTTAGAAGATCGGAAACCTACAGCTGTGCTTACGAATATTGTCAAACATTGTTTCCCGAACCATTGGATAAATGATGTTACTCTCCGTGGATCAAATGGTAGAACCTCATTAATTAGTATTTGGAACCACAGAAATCCTTTATCTGCAACAGCAAAAGGTCCAATAATTCAAGGTTTGGGTGAAAATAGATTGAAAGCTCTCATAGGTAAGTTAGAATTTATATCTTAATGGATAAAATGATGAGATTATTTTCGAAATTTTTTAAGATCATACTATGAGAAAATGTGGCCGAACGAGTTATGACGACTCCACTGATAAATTACTACAAAATACGATTTCAAAGGCCATTCAATATATGAGAACCAAGATCGCAGCATCTCAAGCTAATAGAGGAAAAAAAGCAATATCCGATGAAAGTGGAGATGATAATCAAGACGATGATTGGGAAGAAAGTGAAAATGAAGCAGAAAAGGACCAAGATTATGTTATACCTTCCAAACTCAGACGAAAAGAATTAAATCAAGAATCAGATAACGAAGATTCTGCTCATGATAAAGCTCGAAAAGGTGCTAATATTCCTTATTTCAGAGGTGGGAAAACTAAACCAATCGAAGATGTGTTTCAACAGAAACGAAAGTCAGTTTTCACAACCTCAACACCAGTTACGAGCCCTGCGATATCAAGTCATATATCCAGTGAATCAGGATTCGTTGAATCATTGGACATGAGCCCAAAAGTTATAGTCGAAAGGATAGAACATCCATCATCAATGTCAGCCTTACTCAGCCTTCCAAAAGAGAAAAACGTTTCTGAAGATGCACATGAGAAAGAAGATCCTTTCAGAGTCGAAAAGAAAAAAGGTCTTGATGATTCTCTTGATCGCGATCCGTTGGCTGATTCATCTGGCGATGAATCATTCGAAGATGCTGAACAGAACAATGAATCTTTTGTTGAGCCTCAAATTGCCAACGATGCTTCAAAAAAGAAACCAGATAATTGTGAAAAAGATCAAGAGCTCAAGGACGCAGATAGAGAAATTGTTTACAATGAAGGCTCAACCACTGATATAAATTCAGAGATAAATTCGGATATCGGAGCTAAATCACCTGATGGACATGATTTGAAAGAAGATGATATCCATAATACAAGTTTGATACTTCTATTGGTCCTCCTGCATCAGTCTCAGAGCATAGTGTTGACAAAGTTGTCTCTTCTAATAGAGATGATTCAGAAATTCTGACCCAGAGATATGATCCAAGTTCATTTATCAATGACAAAGGTGAATCAGAGACAAAAGAACCCAGTGAGGAAGACAAAAAGATGCTAGAAGTTCTGTCAGCTAAATATGGAGATAAAGTTATGATGATGTTTGAAAAAAAGTTTAAATGAAGTAAGATTCCCCTTTTTTCAATTTCCATTTAAATTGACCAAACAAAATCAAGGATAATTTTTTTTGTAAACAAACAACAACAGGTAAAATTCTCAAGGGAAACTAAACCTCTTTGCTCTAACAATTAGGCAATTCAAACTAACCATTTTCAGCCAATCAAAAAGATTCAAGATTTATTTACTCTCACAATTAACCGAAAATTATTAACCAAAGAACCAATTATTTTTGTTGCTTAAGGACAACGTTTCAATTTTTCCAATAAAGGTTCATCCATTTTGCAATTTAGTTCAGTTTAGTTTCATTTCTTTTGTAAGATCTTTTCTCCTCTTATTTTTGATTCAATTTCAATCATGTCATCAAGTGCTAATAATGTTAAACGTAAACGTACAAAAGATTCTGGAAGTGTTTTTGACAATGTGAGAAGCTTTTCACTACCCATTGTAAACAAGATTTTTGGTACCAAGGATCCAAGTTCATCTGTTACTATCTCTGATGCTTCACCTTCACGAGACAATCATCTAAATAGTGTGTTGAGTTCAAATGAAAATCATTATGGAGATAGGAAAAAGCCAAAAAAAACATCGAAAAATACCGAAATATGTGAAAATGGAAAGAAAAGTTTATCTCAAGATCCATCGCCCGACGTTATTGATTCTGATTCATCAAAAAAAAACGAAAACGGTGAATTGTTAGCTGTGCTGCTTCCACTTATTCTTGATAAAGACTATTCACCATATAAACAGCCGATAATTGTTAAGCTCAAAGAGAAAGAGCTCTTAGATTTTGGATTCAAGTTACCGTTCAATAAATACATGGATCCAAAATCAAACTATTTCGAGATAGAGTTCAATGGTTTGGCTTTAATTGCTCAAATTTTAGCGATAGCGGGTAAGTTCAGACACTTATAGCTCTCATCTAGATTTCTAACATAAATTATCTTATTTCTATAGATTCGAGAGCAAGTTTAAAGCTGATTTTCAGAAAAAATGTGAAATCTAATCCTCTTTGGGCTAATCTACTCAAAACTAAAACTTTTTGTGATGAGAAGATATTGATAAAACATATTCCCCTCAAGAAAGATGATGATATACCAAATCAACAAGTTCTTGGACCCAATGCCTTGTCATTTCTTTTCAGTGATCAGAATATCGAAAATATTGAAGAAAAAGAGATAATTTCGGACTCTCCAGCAAATGATAAAAAGAAAAGTGACTACTCAGCTAACGAGAAGGTTGTCCAATCTAAGCCTGATTCAGAAGTTCTAGTTTCAAATATACACGATGATAGAAAAATTGATTCTTCATTGTTTGATCAGCTTTTACACGATTTTGATAATCATGTTAAAGATCTGGACAAAAAGAAAGCAGTTCTATCTGAACTTGATACTTCAGGTTCAATTTTGTTGACCGTGATTGATTCGTTAAAAGATCTTAATAAGATAATTAATGAAAAAAATCGTAAAGAAATTGAATCATCAAATCAAGTTCCTCAACTCGATCAAACCTACAAAATCAAATCCAAGGTATATTTAACACTCAATAATTATGTGCTTAAACATTAATTTTTCAATTTGTACTGTTTCAGAATCTAATATTTATTGAAGGTTTGATACAATTAGATTTGGATCGATATAAGTTCGCGCTGAAAAATACCAAAGCTGGTAATCCAAGCGCTTTTGCTTACCAAATAATAAGATTCTGTTTCCCTGAGTCTTATTACCAAGATGTTACTTTAGGGAAGAAAATGATAACTAAAGCTGAACTTGAAAGCTACCTTGAACAGCCAGAAAGCGGAGAGAGAAAAAACAAATTTCCTCTTTCTTTCATCTGGGGTTTCAAGGATCCTTACTCGGAAAGGATGAAAGGGTTATTTGACTATAGACTGGCAAAAAGAGTTCAAGCATTTATAAGTAAGAAATTATACACTAGATTAAAAAAATACAATTCTCGCTTATTAATTTCTAATATTTTACTTCACAAGATCATTTATTCAGGAAATCGGAGATCTTACGGTATTCTGAAGATCTAGAAAAGAAAGTTCGTTGTAGAATCATCAAGGAACTTTGTGCACGTAACCAAGATCTGATTCGCAAATCTAAAGATCAAGCATCTAATGACGACGATCAAGAATCCGAATTTGAGGAAAAAGATCAAGAAAAAAACGACCCATTGATCGACGATCCATTGATTGAGAGCTCAGACGGTGATACTGGAACTAATGAAGAATCAGATCATGATTTCTAGATTCAAAAGTTATTGTTAATTCTCAGAAAAAAATACATTGATACATTTAAATTTGATTATAAAAGAATAAAATTGACACTTTTCTGATTAATAAATGAATCAAAAATTATTTGTCAAAATTGAATCAAAGACCATTCAAAAATGTTCAAAATTGATTCAAAAACGTTCAAAAAATTTTGATTCAACTAAGCGTCAATTTGTCCGAAACAACTCGTTTTTTGAGTCTCTTTGGATTCAAAACTGTTGATTGGGTTCTTCTTTTTCTTCTTACAATGAAAACAAGAATTTTTCGCTCTTCATCTTCATCTTTGTACAGATAAAAAGGAAATGGATAACCTTTTATATCTTACATAGACTTTTCCTCTAACTCACCATCTACTCACTGGAACTTATCTGATCGATATCTCCATTCTTCTTTCCTGTGTCTCTTTTTTCAATCGGTATTTACAGTTGAACAGTAACATTCTCATTGGCCACATTTAGAATTGAGTATTATTATTGCACACAAAATGAAAAAGAGAGGAAAGAATATCATCTCTTTTTTCTTTTTCATCTTCGAAATTCAGTTTAATGTTGTAATCGATTTCTCATGTTTTTTTCTCCAACGTTTTTCCCCTATGACTGACCTCAGTTAATCAGTTATCCTTTCATTACTCAATTGTCCACTACTCACTCTTATCATCTCTCTCTCTCCATCAACTTTGTTTCTTTTCATTAATAATAACAATAGCGATAACAATATAACGACTCAAGTAAAAATATCTACCGATCTAATTGCATTCTTTGATTCCAATACTTCTGAGATATTGATGATTTTAATCAAATTTCCTGATAAATCATCATTCCAATCAAAGTTGCATATCTCGATTGTTGAATATATTTAATATTCAATATTTATTTATCTTTTCTGGCTTATCATCAATTCCTAATTCATTTAGAAATCAGAAGCAGGGAAAAGTTTAAATGGTCACTTTTCTTGTGTACTTGTGTGTTGATGGATTAAATTAAATTAAACATGATTCCTATTGATTGCTCAACTGGTCAATCTATTATTTAGTTAGTTAACCATAGTTACAATAATATTTACATGGTAATTTATTAATCATGTTAAGTCGTCATAATGAGTGTCCAAGAGTTCAGGAAATCAATGGTAAAAGGATAACCATTGAAAGATTATTCCAATTAACAAAATAAACCGAATCATGTACTGAATCGTCAACTGAATATCATAATTATTATATTTTTTTCAGTTGATTTAATTATCGTTCTTATGTGTAAATGATTAACTTACCGTTTCGTCAGTTATTTGTTTGATTCTGCACTTGAGAAATGTTGATTTTCCTAACTGTGCAGTTACATTTCTGTCTTCAGGAAGTGTATCAAAATAAGGTTTATACAAGGGGTTGGTCCAATGGACAATTGGCCTAGATGGTGGTTCACTTCCTTGAAGAACTTCAATCCCAGGGAATTGTCTTTCATTTCTTTCAATTTGATTAATTCCATCAGAATCTGAGAGTATAAAAAGATAACATGAGAAAAAGAGCAAAAAACAAAATTTATTAACAGTAATTTCTATGTGTATATATAATTTTTTTTTCTCTTCGAATGTCAAAGTAAAATTGATCAGATATTATTCATTTTCTTGTGTAATACTATGATAGTAACATTTTCTCTATCCTTTGATCTTTTGTGTTCCAATTTTGTTCTATTTGTCTAGTTTAGAATCATGGAAATCAGGAAAACTCACAATTGGTTCTCAACTAGAAAAATTTGAATTTGATATATTGAATCAAGAATCACATTTCAATTGTGTCTCTTGGAAAAATATCTGAGAAAATTTCGTTACAGAAAAAAAAATATCTCATCTTTTCATCGAACACCCTGAGTATTTATCACTATTGATTGTATCATCCATATAACATATTCATGGAAAAAGATATCATGATAGAAATTCAGAGTAGAGCAAAAAATGAATTTTTTCATAAACATTATTTTCCCTCTATTTCTAATCTTTGCAAACTGATAAAATAATAATAAGATATATGAATCTGAGTAACAATAACAGTCGATTCAAGATGAATAAAAAGAGAAGAAAAATGGATTCAGTTCCCTTTCTTTCTTCCATTTTCTGTTTGAGGAGAGAAAATAAAAAACTCTGGCAACATCGAGCAAAGAATATACTTGTTAGTTGAGCATCGTCAAGATTAAACTCATGATTAAGATGAAGATAATGATGATCAAAACGATAAGGAGCAGGGAATCCTGATTACGTGAGAATTGGCAAACATACAATAAGAGATATTAATGGTGGAAAAAAGAAAAATGCTCTTTAAAACTCTGACATTTTCGGAATTCACTGATTCTCTGAGATTCAATATGAACCCAAATATGTAGAAAAGTTTTTTTTATAAAGTAACAAATTTAGAAACAATCACTTGATTATATTAATGAACCAGAGTGAACATTACAACGTTTCATCGCCAGAATTTGACAATATTCGTCTTAACAGAATCGGTATGAAACTTTATTGTTTTGTTCAAGAAAATTTTTCTCTTACTGGTCAACCTCTGTGTCCATCTCTCTCCCTCTACTGAATGGGTCAAGTTTATTATCGTTCATTTGATTATTTATCTTGAATTAATTGAAGTAGTAAAATCGGCTAAAGAGAATACACTTTTTATTTGAAATATCTTTACTATCCAGATAATACATTCTCTTTTTATTGGTAACAGTATTAACTATTATTATACCAATAATGGACAATAACAATGACAATAAAAAGGATAATACATAAACATCGAGATTTGAAAACAAATCTTGACCACCCCTTTCGCCCTAAAACTACTCAAAGGTATTACCTGATTACTATCATGTTTATGCTTAATAAAATTTATGCTCATCTTTTCCTTGGCCAATAAAGTGAATATCAGTTGACCATTGGTCAAACAATAATAATTAGAGTTTAATATTCATTACATTTTATTGGTAGAAAAAAATTCATTATCGAGCGACACTTTCTCATAACCCGGAATTTGAAGCTTTTCCTCTTCCTTAGAGCTCTGGTCAAACGATCAATTTGAAAATTATGCTTTGTCAACGATAATTTAATGAGATAATCAATTCCGATTGGAAAACTGCATTGGTATGCAAATGTGTTTCACGAAGAGAAAAAGTAAACACGTTATCATTTGAACTTTATTGGTGATAAAAGTTATCAAAGTCTTTTAGAATTCATTGATATTTCCATGATAATGTATTGTGATTATGTTGTTGTTTCTTTCTCTCAATGTTCCGGAAAAGGAAACTCGCCTTGAGGCTAATGAAATTATGTCAATTTGAATGCACAGTTATACGAGTAACGTCAACCTTCAGGGTTTATGCACACATAAGGAAACATTCAAACCTATTATCAGCAATTTTTTCATGATAATACAAATCATGAATATCCTGTCAATAAGTTAAAGCTCAGTTGAAATGGAAAATATTTCTTGATTTCAGATATTCTCACTGTTTACTCTGAAAATGTGACATTTATTATACAACATATTACCATCAATATCACAAGAAGATGATGATATTGTTTATCGGTGGAAACGGAAATGATGATCATTCCATTTGTAGCTAGAATTTTCAAACAAAAATTCAAGTTTTTATGTCATTCAATTGAAATGTATTCAATTTATAAATTCAATCAATGAATCTAATTCATGATTGTTATTTAATTGAGCATGATAATAATGAAATGATTTCATGTAATAATAAACTCACTCCTACTGCTATCATGATGAAAAATCGGCTGACTGTAAATATAATGGTTCTTATTTTTTTTCTTATGAAGTAGAAAGTGATTTTGAAAATTTTCATCACCTACTGATCTTATTGGATGATTTCCGTTTCCTGAGTTTAACTGATTGAACTTTAAATCAGTAAATATTGTTCAAAGGATCAAATCTGATGATAAAAAACTGTAATCACAACGAAATCACCATCAAAAGTTGATTGTTGATCAACTTTAATCTCATCTAATAACTTTAAATTGAATATAAAATGAATCATAATTTTTTCATGTTCATCTCATGAAATGAGTTTTTTTTATCTTGTTTCAATTTAGATTCATTCTGAAGGGTAGAAAATTGAAATCCTCAGTCTTTCTTTCTGATCACTACGATGATTTGCTCATTCAATTATTTTCTTAATTTAGTTATCAATTGAATTCATTGATGTTCTCGATTAACAATTGAGATTAATTGTTGATTAACCAAATTGTTGTATCTTTGACACTTATAAGTGTAACTCTAATTACCACAATTAATGTTTAATTCTTATTGTATTTCCTTATTATGGTTAACCCAATTTCTATGTTAAATTTGTATCTCTTAAAGATCTCTAAAAATGGTCATTTAAGTAAGAGAACAAATTCTCTTTCTCCATCTCTTTCTTTTACTTTTTATCTTTTTTTAGCGTTAAAAGCCTACAAGCTTATTTAAGTTTAACCATAGATTACCAAAGGTTGTCTCATCTTCATTTATCTTCTTCATATCATCTCTTAAAAGATACATTGTAACCCTTTATCATCAGTCTCGTTAACAACGGACAAATTTTCCCCTTTTGTGTTTTTCTTAATAACGAAAATTAGTGTTTCCCCCTATTAAGTTGTTCTCTTAAAAGAACAAATTTTCTCTTCATCATATTAGTGATTGTTTAACTTTCATTTGATTAACGTTATAATTGCTCTCTTTTAATTTCCATTAAAATTGTTTAATTCAGAATCAATTCAGTTATCACTTAGTGATTTGTGTCACCGAGAATCAATTGGCAATCCTGAAAGTTCTTGTTCATTCGGTTGTGGGACCGATAATCTTTTGATTTATTCTCCAAGTCTATCGACTTATTCCGAGTTTCTACTCATCTCTATCTTTTCTAAGATAATCTCTCTCTTCTCATCAAAATTTCCCCCACAAATTGGCGACCCAGGCAGGATTGTCAAGTATTCTCTGTACTCTTCTTCCTTCTAAGTGATTTAATTTCCCCTGAAGTATTCTGTCTATAAACAGTAATAATGGCTCCTCGTCGTGCGAAAACTGCTGGTATTGCTCGCGCTGCTGCTGCACGCGCCGCGAAGGCCGCGAAGACAAAAGTTCGACATCTTCATCTTCCATCTGAAACTGAGGACGATACAATTGTCCCTCAATCTCCAATCTCAATTCCACCTCAATCTCTTAATGAGAATCTCACCACTCCAATCAACCCTCGACCCCCTACCCGTGCATCTACTGTTACTGAAGAACAAAGATCTCTTAGAGATATAACCTTTAATGAGATTCTCATTCTTTTCGAAAAGTGGAATGTTCCAATTCCCATCCGTTCTCTTGCTAACAAAAAACTCATTGACATCGTGTCAACTCATTTTCTTCTTATCGGTGAAACTGTGAATTCTACTGAATTATTAAAAGTTCTCATCGATGAAGTCAAGGAACAATATGTTCCAAATTGGTTATTGGATTTTCGAATTCAAGGGATCTCTGAATCCGAAATTCAAACCTTTATAAACTCAATCGGTAGAGATGATGAAACCATTCTCTCCATCAACCACTCTCAACTTTACTCTCTCCCACTTTCTCTTGGTACCTTGAACAAAATGAAAAATGTTCTAAACTCTCATGGTGCTTCTATTATTCAACCAACCATCTCCAATGCTACTTCCTCAATTAACTCTCATGATGTTCTTACTCCCGCATCATTTCTGGAAATAATGAAACAAATTAAACCAGATCCCCATGTTCCTGAATTCCGTTCCGGTGAAGATCAATTCGCTTGGTTAATGAAAACCAAAGATCGTCTTTCCAAAGAAAATATTGACGATGACACGCGATTGAGACTTCTACAAAAGTCGATGGCACATGAAATGAAAACTAGTGCTATTGGTCTTGAAGATATCTCTGAATATCACAAATATGTTGACGCTCTTTTCGAAAACTTGAAAACTCCAGAGAGTCAATATTCCGCCGATTTCGAATTACAACAATGCCGTTATAATCTCGATGATCACCCTGAAAAATTCTTTAGTGAAATGAAACGATTAACCACTAAGGCCTTTGGTTCCGTTCCCGAAAATATTCTTCTCTCCCAAATTCTTCAACATATTCCCCGTTATCTTCGTGATGACCTTTACACCCTTGGCATCAACAACGATAAAACCCGAATCTTCAATTTTTTGACCCGTAAACATTTTGAACACAAAGTTTACAAAGGTAAAGAAAAACAAAAAACTAATTCAAAACCTTCTGATAAACCTTATGACAAAACAGTCTCAAAACTCTTAAAATCAACTAACAATAATTACCCTCCAAAACCATTGAACCAACAAAGAAATGATTCATCGACATCTAAAGATGTAACTAAACAGTGTAGATACTGTAAAGGTGACGATCACACAATTGAAAATTGTGTTCGACTTGCTCATCGTCGTGCCCAAGAAGCTGCAGGTATCAAACCCGTTTATCAACCAA